GAGGCAGCTTTATCAGGATGTGACTCAATCAGGATGTCCCAGCGTCTTTCTCTGTGAAAAGGGCCTGGACTCCCACTCTGCCTGCCATCTGGGGGACAGTAGGGAGGAACAGTTACAAACAGGGGTGCAGACCCCAGGCTACCTGCCAGCCCAGTGACTCACCTCCAAGATGTACAACAGGGACAGTAAGAAGAGCGGCGTCATGGTTGCTGGGAGGGGTGAAGGAGAGGACGCACTTGCATTGACGCGGGCCAGGCACGTGGCACGGGAGAGAAGGTGCTTAGCTGTTAGACAAGGCAGCAGCCGCCTGGCCAGGTGGGGAAGAAGGTGCGTCGTCCTTATGCTCACTCGCTGAAACTCGATGTTTGGAGTAGGGTTCAGAACCCTGCATCGTCTTCTTCTTGACTGGTAGTGAAGCCCAGGGCAGGTGTGTTTTGCTCCAAACACTCTGAAGCCTCTATTTTCTCATCTGCAAGATGGGTAGCTAGTAACGGCAGCCTCAGGGGGCAGCGCGGAGTCATCACGCTAGTGTGTGGAAGTCATGTACACGTGGAAGGCCCTCAGGAAATGCTGGCATGTGCATGTGTGTGTGCACGCGCGCATGTGTGTGTGAAGTGGTGTTCGCTGCCGTGAACCTGTACGAACAGGCTTCCCCAGTGTCTCCCAGGTGAGACCAGGAGCACGGGAGAGTGGCTGGGGCCGGCCATGTCCACTCTCCTCCCAGTTGCAGGCCCTTGATCAGGAGGGCACTTGTGAAGAGAGGGGACCTCCAGGCAGCTCCCCAGAGGCGAGAGGCAGGGCAACAGAAGGGGACGGGAATCTGAGCGAACCCTCTGCACAGGCCATGCTGTGAGCTGCTTTGGAGCCAACATTAAGTCATTGACTCCTTCCCAGAATCCCGTGAGGGCTTTCCAAAGACCCTCATCTTACAGATGGGGAGCTGACGTCCAGGAGGGTGCCAAGGACTTGCCGAAGTCACGCAGAGCCCGAGTGGAGCCACCCCGAAGCCAGCTGGTCTGCTCCCAACTCCTTGCGAGCGCTCGGGAAATGCAGCTGCATTTTGCAGCACGTGGTGGAGACAGGCGGCTGCCTGGTCTGCGGCTCTGGCTCCGGAGAGCTAACCTTCGAGGCGTGGCTGCGCTCTCCTAGGGTTCCTTCCCTTCGGCGCCAGACACATTTCTTTGGGAAAATGCTGAGGCGGCCTGGGCTGACCAGGGAGGACAGAGATGCTCACCCACCCACAGGGCACGGAGGCCAGACTGGCCTGACAAGCACACTGGAGGTGGCGCCGTGGTCACTGTGCCTGTGGAGACGCTGGAGGGGCCAGGGTGGTGGGAAGGGAGCGTGTGAGCAGGGTGTGTACAGAATATACATGTCTCGGTCCCTGTGGCCAGGGGGTGCTTTCTGCCGTTCCCAGACTGAGAAGGACTTTCAGACAGACGGGAAGGCACAGACCCTGAGAATCCCGTCCTCATGGACAGATAGGGAAGCTCAGAGAAGGGAAGGAACACGTACCAAGTCAGCCAGCAGGTGCGAGGACCGAGGCTCCCTGACTTGTGCTCTGCCTGGAAATCCGTGAATTCATCTGTCCCTCCATCCACGGGTGCCCTGAGCACCTGAGCTTGGCATATAAAGGCTCAGTTTAGCCATGGCCGGTTTGGTTCAGCAGCTAGAGCATCGGCCCATGGACCCAAGAGCCGCGGGTTCGATTCTAGTCGAGAGCACGCACCTCGTTGCGGTTCTGTCCTGGCCCTGATCGGGTCATGCGGGAGGCAACCAATCGATGTGTCTCTCACATCGCTGTTTCTCTCTTTCCCCTTCACACGCCATCTGAAGACAAATGGAAAAAATGTCCTTGAGTGAGGATATAACCAAAAAAAGACTCGGTTCCATAGCAGACATGGTCCCTGCCTGGACTGAGCTGCATTCAAGGCTCAGTGCTTTAGTACAAGGGGCATCGCTGGGCCGAGAGGGGACCACGGGGATGGTGTCGTTGCTCAGGCCCGAGAGGAAGGAGGTGGGCTGGAGATCAGACGTGAAGAGGGAGAGGAGCTGGCCCGAGAAGAGAGCAGGGCGGAGGGACACTGGCGGCCGATGGCCTCGAAGCAGGAGAGCCCTCGGGGCCCTCGAGGGACCAGCCAGTCAATACCAAGCCCCAGAGAGCGAGGGGAAGAAGGGAGCAGGTGAGGTCAAAGAAGATCCTGCAAGACCTTGAACTTGTGGTAAGGACTTTGCAGCTTCTTTAAGAGATGGAATCTGCTGAATTTTTGCCTGTGTGAGGTGCAGCCGGAAGCATGAGCGAGAAATCAGATGTGGAACTGTCCCTAATGGGCCGGGGAGCCCAGTGGGAAAGAGGTACAGAGAGAACCGTGCAGGAGACATGAGCGGTAACTGGATCATTCCGATGTTAGGACGTGGGCAAGGGCAGGGGAGGAGGACAGACACAGGGACGGGGCAGTTGAGGACAGAGAGGCGGCCCAAGCCGGGGGGTGGGGGGAAGGGGACAATAGACAGGAAAGGTGTCACAGAGGGTGAAATCTGAGCTGGTGGGAATTTGATTCAGCACACCTGTATTTAGCATTAAGCATCTCCTGAGTGTTAGGCCGCGTGCTGGGGCTCTCGCATATTTATTCTTGTTTGATCCTGACAACTGGATCAAATGGGGCATTTAAAAAAATTTTTTATTTTATATTTTCATTTTATTTTTTATTTTTCTTTATTGATTTTAGAGAGGATGGGAGAGGGAGAGAGAAATAGAAACATGGATGAGAGAGAACATCGATTGGCCGCCTCCTGCATGCCCCCCACTGGGGATCGGGCCCACAACCTGGGCATGTGTCCTGACCGGGAATCGAACCGGTGACCTCTTGGTGCGTGGGTTGATGCTCAACTACTGAGCCACACCAGCTGGGCGAAATATAGCATTTTTAAAAATCACACTCTTATAGATGTAGAAACTCAGGGTTCTGGCACGGAAGGGCTTTTCCCCAAAGTGTTCAGCAAGTATGAGGCCAGCGAGGATGCCATCTCGGGCCTCTTGGCTCCCACGCCTGCCCTCTGCCCTTGTCAGGGGCTAGATTCGGACGTGCCTTCACCCTCAGCTGCCCCACGTGGCCTGGAGGGTTTTTCCTATGTCTTTTCCAATTCTAACACTCTGTGCTTCTCCGGGAGGAGAAGAGTGTGTGGGAGAACATTCTAGATCGAAAGGCACCGCCTCCACCGAGGCACGGAGGCTGGGAAGGAAGCCGGAGGACAGGCATTGCTTGGCAGGGCCAGCAGAGAGAGGCTTGCCGGCACCCAGCGCCGTGCGTCTCGGTTGAACAGACACCGGCCAGGAGCACAGCAAGCGAGTCAGAGAAGGAGAGGGCTCTGTGGACCGGGTCGTGAGAAAGAAGAATGGACGGGACTGACAGGTCCCTGCCCGGCGAGTGAGAGAGGAAACAGATGCGTGTGTCTGTGGGTGAGCTCTGAGCACACTCCGACCACTGTGCACCAGGTGTTTTTCGTCCCTCACTTCCACTCATCCCTCATCCCAACCTCAGGGACACGCACGCGTTCACTGTTCCCACCTAATGAATGAGTTAACCAAGGCCAGAGAGGCGGTCACATGCTCCAGGTCACGCCCCAGTCAGGTGACAGGGTTGCTGGGGCTGGTACTTCAGTCTTCCTGTCCATGCCTACATTTTAAATGATTGTGTAATTGCAGGATGGGGAGAGAGGTGGGGAGGGCGGGCGGGCGGGCAAAGGGGCAGAAGGAAGAGTTAGGTACAGAGAGAGACTGATTCCACAAGCTAGAGAGGCAAAGACGCGCTCCGAGGCTCTGTGAGCACTCGGAGACCCTGCCCAGGCAGGAGGCGAATGAGGTCATTGAATCCATCTGCGCAGATGGGGACCCTCTGGGGAACGTGATATGCAAATGTCATGATGCAATGAAGTGAAATCCACTTGGCTTGCGTCGGCCCAGCCTGGGCTCCGGCAGGGACAGCGCTGTGCTCCTTGGAAAGACAGCTCGCCGGCTGCGTGGGGAAGACGCTCGCTGGGCTGGGCTCTGTCTGTTTCTGAAAGGCAGGCAGCCCAAGGTCACGCCAAGGTCACAGAGCCTGTGTAGGGACAGAGTGGGAACTGAAACTCGGGCTTCTCACTTTTTCTTTTAAAAAATGTGCAAATCATTATCCCTTATTTTTCCCAGCTTTTGTAATACATGGCCAATCACGTTGCATGCCTCTCTCACCTCTACTTACGCTAAAATCTATTCCCCAGGTCCTTCAACCCAACTTTATGCCGAATGTCTATGTGAGATGTCCCCGCTGGGGTCTCAGGTCCAGAGCTTCTGAGACGAGCCTTTGTGGTTTTCATCACTGCCTCCCGAAATCGCAATGGCCCGTCTGCGCAGAGACCTGTGTTGTCTTAGAAGACGTGGTCACATCCTTTATTTCACTTGATCCCCTACAGTCCTAGCAGATAGTCCACTGTACACGTCTGTGAACCAACTCAGGGGCCGTACATTACAGTCCTTCACCCTGATTTCATCCAGCCCCAGGGTTCACAGTGCAGGGTCAGCCTCATGTCCGTCCCGTGGCTGGGAAGCGAGGGTTAGGCAGAAGTGGCTTGTCCTACGTGGAATACAAGACTTGTCACTCGCCGCTTTGGGTGAATGCCTGCCCCTTTCTGAGCCTCAGTGGCTCCATCCGGAGAAGGCTGATTGTGTTTGTACCCCTCTCTCGGAGCTGTCGAAGGGTCCGATGTTTCCCTGTTTGGAAAGTGTTTAGCACACTGCCCGGCCTGTAATAAACATCCCGAAAACAAAAACTGCTGGGATAATGACCACAGTGATCTTGCTGAACGTTATCATAGGGTTAGAAAGAAGCAGACCTGTGATTTGAACTGGAATCTGCTGTCCCCCACCCATCCAGTGATTGTCCCCTGCCCTGCCTCTCTGAAAAGTATTGCTTCAGACGCAGCCATCTGGTCTAATTCACCTCTTCTCTCTCTCTCTGCAGGTCACCCCCTTCCCTATGTCCTGTGACCTGCAAGGTGACTGTGCTTGTCGGGACCCCCAGGCCCGAGAACACAGCCGGAAAGACCTCCGGGGGTACAGCCATGGCTAAGGAAGGACAAAGAGCTGTCCAAGAATTCCCAGCACCAGGACCCGCATCCCTTTGGTATTGATTTCACAGCTGCTCGATGGAATGGCCTCTCAACCAGGGATCCTTAGCATCCGACCGGTCTGCCTTTAATTTCACCCAGGAAGGACTCGTAGTGGGGGGGGCGCGTGGACCACGTCTCGCCATGTTGCATAATGGAATGGAATCCCATCCCAAAGTCTTAGGTGGATGACGTAGGCAGCGTGCAGTCCCAGAGCCTCCTAGAACTCTAACCATTTGTCACACAGCCGCGGCAAGAAGCATGTTCTGTGTCTCGGAGTGTGCACATCTGTGGTTAGAGCACACGCGTGCAGACGCACCCAGACATCTGTGTGAGGGCAGCTCTGGAGTCTGAGCAGAGAGAGCCTGGAACAAAGTCAGTCTTTCCTTTCCCAAGCTCGTAGCCAACACTGGCTTCGGGAGAAAGAGAGCCAGACACTGCTAAGACCGAGTGTTGAGACGCTGAGATAGTTCACACCCTGAGGCTTGGGATACGGAGGCCGTGCCCAGTGGTGCGTCCTTTGGGATCGGAAGTGAAATGGTCCCTGATCACCTACTTTCTAGGAAAGTAGGACCCAGGAAGAGGAAAGAATCCAAAGTATACAAAGCCCCCCCCCCCCGCCCCGAGTTTTTCTGCTGCCATGGGGGATTACCCCAAGCCCAGGGATCGAGGCCAAGCTGGAAATGGCTTAGGGTTGCAACGTCAAGGTATTATAAGGGCCCCCTGCTTGAGGCTTGAAGCTTGAGGTTTGAGGCCATACTATCCCTCCAGAACCCACCCATTCCCCAAATCTTGCCTTGGGACCACATTTGCTGCTACTTTTCCTGCTGCTCTATCCTATACATTGAGTACCCCAAGATGGTAGGACTAGGTTAGGAAAAACCCCACACAACCAAACAGTCTGCCTTAAAAGTGACCCACATGTCCCCCTGCACCTCACTTCCTAGCCCTTCTGCAAGAGAAAACCCGCACTGGCCTGCATGGTGAGAAAGTAGGTCCTGCAAGGTTGGGCTTCTCGTCCTGGGAGGGGCTGGAGGGACTTAAGATGCTGGACCCCTTCCTGAGAGTCCAGAATGTCTACTCCAGTGTTCGGTTTTATAATCAAGTGGAACAGTGTTACATTTCTGTGACGGTGGACTCATCCAGAAACTGTTAGAATTGTAGGGACTCTTGAGTGATCGTCCTTAACCAAGCCTTCCTGCCCCTCCAGGCTAACGCGGGCTTTGGTCCTGAGGACCTCACTGTGGCCCCGAGTAGGTCCACTTCCAGAACAGAGAATCACCTTGGGGTTGATCAGTCTGGACTGTGTCCCAGGGAGCCAGCAGAGGGGAAGTCCAGGAGTTCCCAGCCTCAGACGCAAACAACCTGACACGGTCATCATGTCTCCCGGTCTTCCATGTGCAGGGCTCCCATCCACACCGGTGGGTGGACAGCCCTTCCCCGCCCCTGCATTCCACCTCCAAACGTTAGACTAAGTCCAGCACTGTGGAAGGCAGCCTCCACCTCTGGGGCCTCTTTGCCTCTTTCCAGCCAGTCACCGTCCATCCTTCTGATGACTGTGGGGAGAGATCCGTACAGCACGAGGTGGACAGAGTGGTGAAGTTGGACATCATCTCTGAGACCTGGAGTGAGGAAGTGAGGCCACCGCAGGGTCTAGACCAGATGGATCACATATACATTGCTATAAACCAAGTCACTTCGAGTCTAGAGAAGACAAGCAACAAAAGCAAAGTCTAGCGCGGGAATGGAAAACACCCGGCATGGGTGCTACCCTCCTCCTCCCCGCATCTGAGGCAGGTCCTGTCCCTCAGTTACAACCCTTTTCCCACGGGGACACGAGCATCTGCCGAGTGCTTCTTACCGCATCACTCCCAACAGCAGTAAGCTGCGGAGCGAGAACACTTGAAAAGACATTTATTGGCCATCTGTGGTCTGTTATATTTTAAAAAATCAAAAAACCTATCTAGGTGCTTTCTGCCCAGGTGCCCACCAATAAGGGTGCAGCACGGAGGTAGCGTTGTGTGGCTTGTCCTAGATCCGTGTCCAGGACGGTTCCAGAGCAGAGAGCCTGCCACCGCAGTGAAGGCCGGACTTAATCCTTTGTGTTTCTTCCTCACACACTCATATTTTTAGTCAGGACATTTAAAAAAAATAAATAATTACCATGGCCAATCGCTAGCAAAATAACAATAGTTATTATCATTATCCTAGAAGGATTCGACCCACTCTGTACCCCTCTCCAGTGTGTAGGAGCTCTTCTCGACGTGTAGAGCCCTCTCTTGCCCTAGCTGGGTCGGCATCCCATGTGGCATTAGTCAGAAGACGCGAACCAGCAAGGTCACTCCGCTAGCCCTGCCCTTCGCTTGACCGCACTCAGTAGTGCAGACAGCCTTGGAGACCCGGCGACAGCGCTGCCCACGCTGGGGTGTCAGCAACCACGGAAGAACCGCGCCAGCTTCTCTCGAATCGACTCTCTTCCTCTCTCCTCCTTCCCTCTCACCCTCGGCTGTCCCCACCTTCTCCCGCCGAGCAGAATGTCTCCAAGGCTGGCTTCTCCCCAGATGCCCAGATGGAGCTGAGCCCTCTGAGCAGACCTCCAGCCCGTCTCCTTTCCGTCCTGCAAACCCGTCGGCCACACGTTCGCATTTCACCGAGGCCACCGGGCAAGACAGGCTGTGGGTGGTGGCCTGCCTCCCTCCGCACACCGTGGCGGAGGTGGTCTGCCCTGCTTGCGCCAGGCACCGGTGCGCGGCTCCTCCTCTTCCCGGGAGTAAGCGCCTGTCTCGTCCTTCCCCGCATCTCTCATTCAGGAAAAGGGTGTGCTCATGGGAGCCAGGTCAGAGGCGCTGCTGTCTGTGAGCACGTAGGGTTGCGGGTCTGAAGAAGGGTCAGACCGTAAGTAGCAATAAAGGAAAGACGAGGTAGACCTCTCAGGCCTCTCTTGGGAAGCCTTTGTAAGCCACCATCCTAACTGCCTGCCCAGAGGACTTGCGTCACCCTGACACCTACCCTGATTAGGTGCCAACCGCCTCTTAGGGGAAGGCAGTCCTTGAGAAGTCGTTTTGGGGGCTGAGCAGGTGCTACGGAAGGGAGCCATCGGTGCTCATGAGTGACAGGGCTTTGAGGACGGAGGGTGTCAGCTGCTGCTCCTGGCTACTGCATGCCGAGTCACCGCCCAGACAGTTCCCTTGGTCTCCGCCCCACCTTGGCCAAGGCCTACATGCTATTTGTTGAAAATAATTCTTTGAGACAGATTTCAGCTACCTCCCTTCCAGGTTCGGTTTAACTTGGTTGTAACTGTCCATTGGTTACAGGTGTCACCTGGGTTAGAGAGGAAACAGGGGACCAAGAGAAAAGAAAGGAAGGAGACTGTGCTTTCAAGTTACCGTTTGGAGGTTGTGTAGAGTGTTTCTTTACTGGAACGGCTTCAGGTGCAAACATCAAAAAGAAATTGATGGTGACAAAAATGCACGGGTAGCAATTCATAGAAGACAAGGAGATTAAAAGGAAAAACAAAGGCATGATTAAAAATCAGAACTTTTTAAAAACACAACACTATTTTTGTGCTTCCTAAAGAAAACTGTTTATTCTGCAGAGTAGGTAGACTCAAGCCTAAGGATCCCCCTAGCAGGAGACAGAGTGGGAGTTTAGAAACACTGTTCGTTTCTGTACGTTGTGGTAGGTCCAGGAAGGGAGGCACCGTCCCCTTGAGGCGTAGTCGTTGTTGGGAAGTGTTTGGTCTGTGTGTTGGGTGGCAGTCCGTGTTCACAGGGCGTGGGAGGGCTTGCCGTTGGTTGGACCGAATAGTGAGGGGCCAGGTCCAGCCGTGCTGCTCACATGATGAAATCTGTCTCTACCAGGGGCGCACCAGGCTCTGTGAACACTGCGCTTCCACCCACACCACACCATCCGCTTTTCGAAAAAAGCTGCTACATGACCAGACAGGTCATTCCCGTGGTTTCTGAGACACAAAACAAAATTAACCGAGCAAAAAATAATAATAAAAAACAACAACAAACAAACAATAAAAACTAAATAGCACATGAATAAGAGCTAAATCCATTGCTGTTTTGCCAAATTCCTACCAGCTGTGTGATCGGTAAAGGAAATACCTAGCAGCCAAGACGGGATTTATGTCCCCAGAATAAGAACCTAGAAACGCTCGACTCCGGGCAGCAGTTTGCTTAGTGATCTTGAACAAGTCATCAGATCGCCTCTCCATTTGCCTCAGTTTCTCCAGCTGCAAAATGGGGATAATACTACTTAACCTACCTCACAGTGGGAGGCCAGGGGCTCGGGAGGCCCTGAGGTTTTACATGGGCTGTGGCCTCCTGCAGGCGCCAGGGCTGCAGGGGGTCCATGGGCTCCCTGTCGAGAGGGCACAGGCCTGTTGGCCTCGTAGGGAAGACAGCAGGTGCGCACATGACATTCCAAGGGATAAAGCCGCAGTTCCTGACAGTCCGTGTTGAGAGAGAGGTTTGTGTTGGGGAATATTTCACTCTTAGGTAAATTGGATTTTCTCCCCTTATCCTGGCCTTGACCAGTTCCCTAATCTGATTCAAAGCCAATTACTTCCTGCAAAGTAAAAGCCCATTCACTGTCGTCTGTTCAGTACTTCCAGGCCATCTCCAACTTCACAGAGGAGGGGCGTCCCTCCCACCGCTTCTGCCGAGGGTTTCGTTAGAAGACCTGGCTTTCTGAGTGCAGACCCCTCGGGGCTTCTCACTCTAGACACCAGCAGCCAGTGAGGAGGGTTTTGAACAATTACCGGGTTGCTTTTTTGAGTCTCTATAATCAATAACCTGTCCGCAGATACCTATCTATATAAAGATATTATATATAAATATAAATTTACATATATATGCACATGTATATATAGTTGTACATATATGTGTGTATATATATACTTAAATGTAATATTTACAAAATAAAACTGTGATCTCGTCTAGAGAAAATGTATTCATATTACAAACTACTCTTCCATATTTATGTACCATATTATACCTTTTTATTATTGTTATAATTACTATGGGTATTTCTAATTATTCGGATGTTGAAATCTGTTCGGCACCTTCTGGAAACTACCAAAAAATAATAATAATAACTCTCCATTGAAATGCTTAAAAATCTTTACTCATGAGAATTCTACTGGCCTACTATGAAAATGAAAAAGAAAAAGAAAAAAAAAAAAAAACAATCTAAACACCAAAACCAAAACACGATTCCAATCCCTTTTCTGTACCTCACGCGTATACATTTGCTGCTCCTATTTTGGGTTTTATTTTCCTGTTTATGTGTTTTTATGGATCTAAGTTAAGTCTTTTAGCAATATATAAAAAAAATGTAAATAGTAAACTTTATTTATTAAGAATGTCATCTTTTTTAATTTATATTTACACAATTGTTCATCTAATTTATTTTTTTCTATACAGTTTTAAATACTCAGACATATTTTGCTGTTCATGGTATTTTTATCCTGTTCTCATGGATTCGTTTTTTCCATACTGTTTTCTCTGGTCTCAATTACAGGTTGGATCTCACACACAAAAAAATTAATGTCAAAGACAGAAATATTTTGCCACTGTTGATTACTATACCTTAAAGTTCTATATTATGAAAATATATAATAGCTTGTATGCTTCAGGACGTAGTGGTGTGTGTTTTGTCTGCTGTGCAAATCTGACAGACTCTCTCATCTATACACACTCATAAGGAAGAAAACCCCAGGGCCTAGAATGAAATCAATGGCAGGTTGAATCCAGCACGCACCCGCTTTTCTGCACAGTTTCAGGAGAGCACCTCCATTTTGCATGTGCAAACCTGGGACACATTCTCACATCTTAAAAGAAAGTTTAGTTTTCAGGGAGCTCAGTAGGTGTCACCTGTAGCCACGCCAGCCCCTTCCACAGTCTTCTTCCAGCATGTTCATTATTTTCATTTTTCCCCTTCATCATGGAACACTCAGTCATCCAGTTCACCAAGGGAACCTGCTGCTGACACTGAGGTTTTGCTGTTTTGAAGCTGCCTAATGGATCTCTTTTTTAAAAATCTTATTACTATCTTAGTAGCTCTGTGATCTTTGGAAAGTTATCTAGTTGCTTTAAGAATTAGTTTCCAGCTGGACAGTTTTACTCAGTGGTTAGAGCATTGGCCTGTGGACCGAAGGGTCATGAGTTCGATTCCCAGTCAAGGGCACATACTTGGGTTGCAAGTTCGATCCCAGGCCCTGGTGGGAGTCGCACAGGCGGCAACTGATCAATGTCTCTCTCCTTCTCATCGATGTTTCTCTCTCTCCCTCCTTCCCTTCCACTCTATCTAGAAATCAATGGAAAAATATCCCTGGGTGAGGATTAACAAAAACAAAAAACAAAAAGAATTAGTTTGCCCATCTGTAAAATGGAAATAATAAAAGTACCCATGTCATAAAGTTGTTGCTAGAATAAGATAAATATGTGGAGCTTTTAGAACTGTGACAGGCTGCTCAGGACAAGTATTAATAATACACTAATTTTTTCTGACATCTGCTTGTGTTTTATGAGAATAAGAACAAGATGCACTAAAGCACTCACTCGTACAGGCGTTGCCATGGAGTGAAGGTCCTGGTACCGGTGGCTGGCAGTACAACCACAGGACAGGTCAAATATGCAATACTAGAAATGTTGAATTCTGCACAAAAGGGCAGCTTGGGGATATCAGTGTGAATTACACAAAAGGGCATGGAGTAGGGAAGTCAAGAACTACCCATAGCAGGTGCTGTGCCCTCTTTACAAACAGAACCCACTGAGAGACATGAGGGAGG